GAAAAATAATACAAGGGGGAGAAATGAATGACAGTAGATGGGGTAGAGAGAGAAGAGGGGAGGGGAGGGGAGTGGAGGGGAGGGGGGATAGTAGAGGATAGGAAAGGCAGCAGAATACAACAGACACTAGTATGGCAATATGTAAATCAATGGATGTGTAACTGATGTGATTCTGCAATCTGTACACGGGGTAAAAATGGGAGTTCATAACCCACTTGAATCAAAGTGTGAAATATGATATATCAAGAACTATGTAATGTTTTGAACAACCAACAGTAAAAATTTAAAAAAAAGAATGTAGGTCTGTAAGCCCCCAGACTTCTGTTGTTACACTACGTAATGACATCCCCCTTAAATCACCAACTACCAGAAAGTAATGGACAGGCAAGTCCAGTCATCCCACACGGTGAGTTCAGTGTTGGAAAGCAGAAATGAAGCAAGGATGCTGTCGATGAAGAGATTACGGATGTCCCAAGGTGAAGAGAAGGGGGAGGAGCAGGTATGGAAGGGTGGGTAACTGGGGGCAGAAACGATCAAAATCGATACCTATATGAATATGATGCAATGAAAGTCACTATTCTGTATAAGAAATATGCACTAACAAAAGAAAGAGATCGGAGATTTTCTAAGAAGAAGATATAAAAAGAAAAATGCAACATTGCCTTGGGCTGACTACCCTAAAGTACATTCTTGTTATCATGACTTTTTCTCTTAATACTTCTTTTTCTGCTCTTAATATTCTTAATAAGCCAAGTACAATACAAGCTATGACCGGTGAGCTCAATAAGGGAATTGAGCTAAGTACAGGGAAAACATCTGGAAAATTTGTGTCTGAAATCGACCTCATTGAGACTTCCCCCTGTGGTACACTAATTTCTAGAACCAGTTCTTCTTCCCAGAACAGCTAAAACATCTGGATAGTGTATGTATACGAAAGGAGACATCAGTTTGAAGGTTCTTAGAGCTACCAAGGCAACCAGGCCTTGAGGACCAAGACCTTTGACGAGAGAGAGAGGAGCGTGGCTTCCCCCAGAGATCCCCGTGATCCCACAGTGCTGTCTGGGAGTCCAGGAAGTGGCCAGAGCCGTCGGCACCCTCAGATCCTGGGAAAGCAAACTCTAGAGTTCACCAGGACAGGGAGCTAGTACCACCCTGGGGTTTCAGTGAGAACCTGCGAGAGGACACACTTGGGTGCAACCATGAGCTACATATGGACCAACACTCACAACGGAGAGATCTGTGGCTGGGGCTGGGGCTCAGTGGTGGAGAGCGCCTGCCTCGCCCATGTGAGGCCCTGCGGTGGACCCTCAGCACCCCATAAAAATAAATAAATTAGATAAAGGTATTGTGTCCATCTACAACTAAAAATATTTTTTAAAAAGAAAAGAAAGGAAGGAAGGAAAAGAAAAGAAGAAATCTCCGCTTCCAAGAGCTCCACCACGGGCTAGATGGAGACGGTGCTCAGCACCAGTGATCCAGGGCTGAGCCCCTGCAGGCCCCCAGGGGCGTCTTCCTTTAGTCAGAATCCAGCAGTTCTGATGATGGAATTTAGGCTGATCTGGCGTGCAAATGGCCATGCGGCTCTTTTAGTTTTTTAAATCTGTACTTGGTACTCTGCCATTAGTACCTCATTGGCTGGCCGATACTCCAGATGCCCAAGATTTAGTGGTGCCAAGTGTTGACCCCTTTTACTGGCTGACTTAAACATTTAGTTTTTAACGTCTATGAAGTCCCAGTCCTTGCTCAGTGACATTGAGTGAGACACATTATACTCACTCATTCATCCAAAAACACTTTTTGAGGACCTTATGCAGTAAGACTCCTGTGATAACAAAGCACTGGAATGCGTTTCACTGGAGACTGGCTCCCGTGTTCCACCTGGCCCCATTCGCAAATGCACAAACTGGGTTTTTTATTATTTGAGGAAAGAAAGGAAATGTGAAAAGAAGGAGAAGGCAGGGTGCGGGGTTGGGGGGGGGGGACCAGAGGGGGAAAGGGGGAGGTGGTGGATCGGTTTGCTTCTGGAAGCAGGGTGAATCCCGGCATCCCCAGTGATTTTCTGGCTGTTCCTATTTTAATTGGGCCAACAAATGGATACCACTAACCAGGAGATTTCTGTAATTACTGTTCTTGCCCCGGAAATCCCAACAACAGAACATGAGCACAGGAAACAGAGCGCCCCGTCAATACGTAAGTTAAAACAGATCACTGACGTCAAAGCTCAGGTCAGATGGTGATGAATTTCTGTGGGTGTTCCCTGCTGGCTAGCTCTGCGGACTGACCCCAGTTGTTTGATTAATCTAATTAATTTATCCCTAATTCTTCATCATTGGATTTTTGTATGCTATTTAATTAAAGAAAGCAGAATTTTATTAATTTTAACTAATAAACTCTCAAGAAATATTCTATTGGAAGCACCAACCAGGTTGGCCAATAATTATAATGCAATTTAATGGAGTCTGTGATAGAGGTAGAAAGACAAAATGGGATCATCCCACTACACAGGGGGCTCGTGAGCGCCTGTTCTTCTTCTGTGTTTCTCAGGAGGGTAGGGTGAGCGTACTCATTGTAAACACAGGTTATCAGGAATAACTCAGTTGCTTAGGGCCTTGCTAAGTTGCTAACTTGCGATCCTCCTGCCTCAGCCCCCCAAGTAGCTGAGATCACAGGTGTGCCTCACCAAGCCCAGCTAAAGTCTATTCTTAAACTAAGCTAATCAAGTCCGAAAAAGGGATAAGCATGGATTCCATTTGACTATACCGGTAGGAAAAAAGACCAGCTGGTTTAAGGGTGTTATGAAAACTTAAAACTAACATGAGAAAGGGAAGAAGTCCCCTTTGGCACCAAAGCATCTTGTTTCCAAGAACAGGAGGAATGGTAATAGGCCAGATCATGCAGTCGGAAATGCCATGTTTGAAAGTCATCTGGAAAGGACTGGTGGAGGAGGTTCTCCAGGGTCGATTTCCGGGGTGGTCGATCTTATGTGTCAGCTTGACTGGGCCAAGGGATCCTCGGACAACTCATAACGCAGTGTTTGGGAGAACCCATGAGGGTGTTTGGAAAGAGATCATTACTTGAATCAATAGACTGAGCAAAGGGACCTGCCCTCCCCAGTGTGGTGGACATCGTCCAGTCCCCTGAGAGCCCCAGTAGAACAGAAAAGAGAAGAAGGGCGAATCCTCTCCTCTTGAGCTGGGACAGCCATATTCCCCCGCGTTCAGACTTCAGAATGCCTGGTTTGGGGGCCTTGGGGCCCCAGGATTACACGGCCCCCCACTCCCACTCTAGCCCAACCCTCTCGGGCTTGGAGTTCCACCACCAGCTCCCTTGGCAGCTTGCGGACAGTGTGGAGGGGACCTCTTGGCCACTACCTATAATGAGCCAGTTCCCATAATAAATACCTGTCTATCCATCCGATCTGTTCTGTTTCTCAGGAGAATCCCGACTACGATGGTCTCCTACGAATACGATGGGATGGAGGAAGATTGGAGGCCCCAAACTGCCAGACGCTGATATTCTCCCTGTTCTTACCTTGCTCTCTGCACAGTCTCCACCGCCTCCTCTTCCAACACACTCAGCAGCCAGCAAACCAGCAAACCCGTCTCATTATAAGGAAACGTCTCAACCCCAGAGATGGTTACAATAGGGCCTCAAAAATGCAATTTACAAGCATAAATTTATAGCAGGAAACGTGAAAGGAACTGGGTCATGCATAAACCATGAGACATATCTGCCAGAGCCCTCTTTCTTAAAAGGGTTGAATCTAATTATACGGGGAGCCGGACAGGGGACAGAGTTAGTAGGACTGACCCCATGATTTCACTTTGCCAAGACTAGGGACAAGGGCTCGAGGAGGACCCTGGAAGGACTGCAGCCTGGCGACGAGCCGTGTGTCACTCTTCTCTGTGATCGCGGGTCTTGGTCCCTTTATGCTCCTTCGTATTTGCTCCCTCTATCCACGTGCTCATCTGATTACGCTGTATCTCTAACTTGAAAGGGCAGGTGACGGTGACGGGGCCTCCCGCCCCCCGCTCAAGCAGCCATCTGACTCCCTCCCCTTCATTTCAGGGCCCACCCCGTCAAAGACGCTGAACTTGAAACAGTGCAAGACCGGCTTCCACTAATCCCTAGTTTATGGCTCAGTGGTGACCCCTCCCTCCTCTTTCCTTTATTAAGAGAAAGCAAGTAAGGCCACCCGAGTCTTGATTCCAGCTGCTGCTCTATCCCCTTCCAAGGGCCGGTACCTTGGAAAAATAAAGACTTCAGGGTTTAAGTGGGTCTGGGTGTGAATACTGATTCTGCCACTTATTAGTGCGATGACCTTGGACAAGGGAACTAATGTTTAACTCCAGGGCTGGGGGTACAGCTTGACCTGGGTTCAACCCCCAGTACCACAAAATCACCATCATCACCATCATCATCATCATCTCCACTTCTATCTGCAAAACAGGAATAAAAGAGCTACTTTATAGGCTTACGTGATAATTAAATGAAAATATCCCCAGGCTGGGCACGTGGTTCAGTAGGTGAACCTGAGTTCAATTCCCAATACCCCCCCTCACCAAAAAAAAAAATGAAAATACAGACATCAGTACAGGTTCCAGCCATACAACGCATATTTAATAAGTGCTAACTGTAGAAAAGAAACCCCTCAATTTTCATAATAATGCTGATGTTCACGACGACATAGGTCTAACTCATAGGCTAGAATCGATTAATGAAGAATGCATCGTGTGGTCTCCAATAGCATAAAGGATAGCTGATGATTTTGACCAAGGAGTTGTGTTTGTGATTTTTGTCAGATTCCTGAACAAAAGCATGATGAATTGATAGAGCGGAACTCGTCTCTGCTCCAGTAATCGACAGAACCATTTCTCAGCCTATTCCTACCCAAATCAGGGGCCTTTCCCACTCTTCCTCTGGAGGAGGAAGTCGGCCACCCCTCCCTCCCACTCCCCACCTCCCAGCCTGGAAACCATGGTTCTACTTATCAGGAATAAGTTCACTCAGGATCTGTCTTGTGGTGCTTGGTTTCTCCACTTGACATAAGTCCTCCAGATGGACCCACGTTGTTACAAGGCTGCGTACTCCACTGTGTGTACAGCCCACATTTCTTCTTCTTTTTTCAGACAAAGTCTCACTATGTTGCTGGTCTCAAATGTCTGGGCTCAGGGACCCTCCCACCTTGGCCTCCTGAGTGGAGAAGGAAGACCGCAGGATGGGCCTGTACCTGGTTTGTTCCACATTTCCTCTGTCTGTTCATCCACTAACGGACATCTAGGTTGTTTCCATATCTTGACTGTGATGAAAAGGTCCAAAGTCTCAGGTGGATAGGAGGCAAAGGTCTTGAGATCTAGTGCACGACTATTGCCAATGATGATGCTGTATATCTCAAAATAGCTGAGAGTGAATTTCAGATGTCTCACCAGAGAAGAATAATAGGGAAGTGAAATGACGATATGTTAATCTGCTTGATCTGATCATGGCACATTGTGTACATATATCAAACATCACCTCATGCCCCACAAACGTTTACAATCATGATCTGTCAGTCAAAATAATATTGATAAGATTCTTAAATGACGATTTTTTTAAAGAAAAGGGAGAGAGGAAGTTCAAACAGAAACAATGTCCCAGGCTCTGCACAGGAGCAATCTCAGGCCCGTGGAGACCAACGGGACCCAGGGGAAGGAGGGGTAGGGGATTTCTCCATCCTTAGCCAGCACACACCTAACCCCCTGGGCAAGGCCACGCCTTCACTATGCGCAGTCTTATCACTCCGTGGATCTTCTTCATTCAGCAATGTTGACAGCAGGGACTGGATAAATATCTGTCGAATGCAAAGAAAACACAGCACCCATATGCCCATCACCCTCTGATAAACTATTTTTTAATAGAGATAACAAGTTGAGTTGGAAAATTAATCTACGGCTAAAACAAATACCATGACATTTTCCAGAGTCAAAACTAAGTGTCCTGCCGGGTGACCCAGGGGGCTGCTTCACACATGACCAGAGAAGGGTCACAGACACCCCTGACTCTTGCTGCTGCTGATGAATCGTCATCCCATTAAGAAGCCAGCGGAGAATTTTCTTCCCAATTCCATGTCACCACACTTATCTAAACAGTTCTCAACCATAGTGGGTGATCATTCTCCAAATCAATTCTTGTCACTTTTTTAGAAAGATTGGTAGCACAATACCCTCATTCTGACCTTCCTATTCTTCAAAATTCTCCTAGAAGACAGTGATATGATTTAGAAAAAGGCCAAAGTGGCCCAGAACCTAGACTTTATAATACAGATTTTGAAAACTAAGGAAGAATTCAGGTCTTATAAGTTGCTCTTTCCTGATTCCAACCCATGACTTTTTGTTCCTCCGGTTCCTTCAGACCTTTGTTCCTCTATTTTTTTCTTACAATTTCCTCGTTGGAGACTCTAAAAATAAACAGTCGCAGACATGCAGTAGAAGCCCTGAAATGTGCTCTATTCCTGGCCTTACCCAGAATCTCTGCAGCTGTGCCCAAGGATTCCAACCCAGTCAGACGACAACCTTCCTGTCAGACAGGGCCAAAGCGCTTTGATTAATGTCCATCCTAAATACAACTGCTCTATGGTAGAATATAGATCTGCCTTTGCAACCTTTGGACAGGGCACATAATCTGTCTCTTCACCTACTTCTCTACCTGCAAACTGACAAGAAAATCTTTCTCCCTAAATTGATATGTAGCAAAAGGTAAACTATCCCAGACCCCTGCTGAAACGGTGGTTGTGAGGCTTTGAAATGATTCAGTCTCTGAAGCCCACTTCCACTTTAACAGGGCTCTCTTGACCCGATTCTGAGCTCCTAGACCCAGTATCTTATTTTGTTTTATTTTCATTTGTTTGTTTGTTTGTTTATCTATTTATTTATTTTTGGTACTGGGGATTGGACCCAGAGCACTTTACCACTGAGCTGCATCTCCAGCCCTTTTATTTTATTTTGAGATAGAGTCTCATTAAGTTGCTGAGGCTGGCCTCAAACTTCAATCCTCCAGCCTCAGCCTCCTGAGTTGTTGGGATTACAAGTGTGTGCCACCATGCCTAACTCTCTAGACCCAGTGTTAATGAGTTGTACAAATCAATAAATGTAGATTCATCTTACTGCAAACTGAGTCAGATGAGAAAATAACTCTCCCACTAAGTCACATCAGAGCATTCCAGAGCCAAATGCATATCTCTTTCAGATAATGCAGGCTGCGGCTCCTAGGCAGTAACAGGCACTTGGCAGGAACTGTGGTCAGTGTTCTACATACGTCAGTTTCTCTGTCCTGACAAGTGCCCTATGACATAGGTGCTACTATTAAACTACTTTTATTTTTTTAACATGGTGTTATGGTTCAAACCCAGAACCTTACACATGCTGAGCTCATGTTCCACTGAGCAGAACCCTCAGCCCCTAAACTGAGGGGGTGCACAGAGTTCAGGTAGTCTCCTGAGATCATGGAGCCAGTAAGCGGCAAACTCCACGTTTGGATCAGCTGACTTAGCACTATACTCTGGTGCATTTTAAGATAACAGAGACCATTTATATGCAGTCATGGGGCCAAGTACCTTACCTAGATCATCTCATTAAATCCCTATAACAGGCATCTCCACCTCCAGATGATAAAACTGAGACTTGAAAGAGTTAATTTGCCAAATATCTCCAAACCAGTAAATGATAGGTTCAGAGCCTGATTATAGAGCCTGGGAACAAAGAAAATACTGAGCCATGTTGGAAAAAAATGACCACAGGTTCTAACTAGACTCTCCTATGGAGACTCCCTTCTCCATTAGAAAGATCTGAAGAAAGGATCTGCTGAATCTAAAGAGAGATTCCTTGGAGCCTCACTCTTCTGGGTTTGCAGAGAGGCCCAGAGGAGAATGAACTCCTGAACGGGCCCTGGAGTTCCCGCTGAGGTGACCAGGAGGGCCGGCCCAGGGGCAGGGAGCTCAGAGCCACAGGAGCCCCCCACCCCTGCCTTGAGCAGCAGAGGCTTCCTGTAGCCTGGTCTGTCTCTGATTTGCAGGTTGACGAGTTAATTCCAACAATCTCAGCCATGACTCTTAGAAGAGATTCTTTATTACCCTGGCCAGAGCGTTCCAGAATATTCCCAAATCCTGATCTCTAATTCCAGGATCAGCGTATGCCATCTGAAGTCTGCCCTTAGCTTGGCCATCACACGAATCACACTCCTGCCCTGTCACGATCTAATACTGCCCCTTGCACCAGCAACGATAGTGCGATAGCCAAGGAAACGGGGAAGGGAAGGGTCATGTAGGGGGGAGTCTTGAGACTCTGACCTTCAGAGGAGTGTGGTGACTGGGGAGTCGGAGGACTGTGAGAGACAGGTGAACATCTCAGTGAGAAGAGGGACTATTGAGAAGGAAGAAAAGGAAAGGAGAAGGCTCCCCCAGCACAAGGATCATTAAACAGGGTCAGAGAAAGAGCCCAGGAAGCCAGCGCAGGAAACGTGGTCATCCACTAGACAGCACCCCAAATTCAACCCAGTCTTACCCTCTCGCGTTTCCTGTTCTCTTCACTCCTCCCACTGAAGTCACACCATCTCTTCTGGCGGGATAATGAGTTCACTGGGGCCAGCTAGTGACTGGGGAGGCTAAGACAGGAGGATCCTAAGTTGGAGGCCAGCCTCAGCAACTTAGGGAGATCATGTCTCAAAATTTAAAAATTAAAAAAAAAAAAGTGGAGGAAGAGTGGTCCTGGCCCAATCCCCAATTAAAGGGAAAAATATCTCCATGCACTGAACTGAGTGTGGGGGGACAGTGAGGAATAGATCATGCTTCCTACTTTAGGGGAGCTTATCGTTCAGTGGGGGAGCCCAAAACATACACAGATAATATCAACAAAATAAAAATACTTTTAAAAAGTGCTTTCTCCGTGGGTGCCATGGCACAGGCTTATAACCCCAGTGACTCGGAAGACTGGGGCAGGAGGATTGCAAGTTCAAAGCCAGCCTCAGCAATTTAGCCAGAACTTGTCTCAAAATAAAAAATAGAAAGGTTTGGGTTTGGGGATGTAGTTCGGTGACAGAAGGTCCCTGGGTTCAATTCCAGTCTTGAAGGAAAAAAAAAAAATAGTCCCCTGGACTGTGGCAGCCTTTGACTCTGCTCCTAGGCTCTGAAGATGTCTGCGCTATGCTTGGATCTAAAGAGGGACAGCGTCGCCCCCTGGTGGCACAAGGCCCATCTCCGCGGCTCTGGAAAGGGCTGAACTGCCGAGGCCAGCCGGCAGGTGGGAAGGATCTGCCACAGAATGGAACGGTGAGGTCTCAAAACGGCATCGCCCTGTTTCCTCCATCTACCCAGATAAGCTGGACCTGCCTACGTGGACTCTTGATGGCAGGATGCCCCTGACAAAACAAAACCAGAAACCCTTACGGTGGAGCACGCCAGCAGACAGACGAGGCCTGCAGAGGACAGGAGTTCTGCCTTCGTTCCCGTTTTGGTCCATTCTGCCGAAGCAGAGGGATTTTCATTCATGTTAAGTTCAAATAAATAAACAAATGAACCTCTCAGGCCAAACCCTGCCACATATGCACCCTGATGAATAATGAATCAAGTAAGGAGAGGATCCGAGAATCGCGGCCGGGCCCAGGGTTGGGGAGGAGGTAGGCAATGGACCCTGTGGTGTGGAGTCTGGGCCTTGAGCTCCAGGCGCCATGGGAGAGTGGAGCTCTGGTGTTGCATCAGGGCTACGCCCACGGAGCTTGGGCCTGCTTCCCTGGACCTGGGCAAGGACACATCACCCTGCACTGTCTCCCTGGGACCGTCTGAGGCTTTGCCACCGCCCCAGTCGCCCTCCCGGGAGCACCCCCTGCCCTGCTAAGAGGAAAGAAGGCAGTGAGGCCGAGCTGACCAGCCTCTACATGCACGAGCAGAACCCGGAGTCCAGACCCACCCTGGCCACCACGCAGCAGGAGCAAGAGGCCAGGGGAGCAGGCGCCAGCCGGTTTCCATAGATACGGATTTCAGTGGCTCTATGACAGCCAGGCCAGGCTGCCTGAGAGGCATTGTTCGGATGCCTGGGGACCCGCTTAGAAGGAAAATCAAGTGAGAAGCCATTTTTTTAAAAATCCAAGTAGCTTCCCTTTCAGTTTCACACCAAGAGCCCCTTCGGCCTCTGTCCCCCTCTCGAGAGCACCGCGGTAGCATCCTTACCTTTGGCTGCTGGAGCCGCTCTGGACCCTGAGCCTCAGTCCTCTGAAGGTCACAGTCAAAATGACTCCTAGACCCAAGCCACTGCAGGGCTCCTTCTGCAGCTGCTGTGGGCTGAAGGAGTTGCAACCCCAACCCCGATGACCCCTTGCAAGGGCTGCCTCTGGGACTGAGAAGGCCCACCCTGGTCTCCTGGGAAGTTCTGCTCCCCAGAACCCTTGTTTTCCTTCCCACGTCCACACCTGCACCTTCTGCCGTCACGGCGTCTGCGACCCTTCTCTCCACTCAGCAAACATGGCTGAGTCTCCCCGTGGCTAGGCCTTCAGGAAGCAGACAAGAGGACGCAGCCCGGCACCCAGATCACAGACTGGTGGGAAAGGCGTTCATAGGGGAACCGCTAGAAAAACCCCAGAAAAATCCCCGAGGGAAGCAGAGTCCACACCAGACCTCACAGAGGAGCTGGGGAGAGGAGACTCCCAGCAGAGCAACGGCCTCGGCAAAGGGACAGAGGCAGGAAACAGGATGACGAAACAAAGAACTCGCAGGTCTGAGATGCCGAGAGTCCCTGCAAAGGCAGAGGTGGCAGAGACAGGCTGGATAGTGGCCGGCACCCGACGCAGAGGGCCCTGCGCCTGTGCTTAGGCCACCTGGGAGGTTCTTAAGCCTTGTCTCAAGGCCCTCCGGGGTCACCACAGTGCCTCAGGGGCAGATGAGGGGCCTCTCGCTCCTAACCTAAGTGACTCATTTTATGAGTCCATTTGTAGGTGGTAGCAACAGAGATTTAAGGAGGAGAAGGACATGGTCAAATTTGTGTTTCAAAAAGACCCTTCTGATTTTTAGGGCCCACTTCCAACCATTCCTCAGGGAAGTCTACTGCCTGAGAAAACCTCTGACAAAATGAGTGATCACATCAGAAGTGAGAACTTGTTCTGTACGTCTGTGGTGATCATTGTGACCCTGCTTGGTCCAGAGGTCCCCTTGGCTGGCCTGGGCTGCAGACAGAGCCGGTGGCTGGGTTGATGGCACCCTCTAGTGGTACGAGTGCAGCATGGCTGCCCGGGAACCAAGATTGCGTCCTGTGACCTGTCACACTTATTTCTAAAAACCAGTATGGTTTTATTTAATCCCCAAAACAACTCAGCAAAGGAACGTCTCACTTTTACATCCATGTCGCAGGTCAGGAGCGTGAGGGGTGGACAGGACACAATGTTTGTTGAGACTCCTGTGAGCTGGGGACCCTGTTGGTGACAGGCATTAACCCACTTCAAAGGTGGAGAAACGGAGTCCTTGGGGACTGAGAGACCCACTAGGTTTAGTCATGGGCGCTGAAGTTCTCCTGATTCCGTATCCATGGTCTTCTCAATTAATCTGGTCAGACCCAAAACTCTTATTTGAGTCAAAATGAAATCCAGTGGTAAAGGATTCGGGAAAAGTAAGCGTTTTGGGAATTCAGAGTAATGACCCACTGCAGCTGTTTCCTTTGTCTTGAGTGGAACCAAAGCACAGTTGTAGACTAGACTTGAGGATGATTATAGGGAGACGATTCACACGTGGAACAGGCAAGTTCTAGGAGCCTGTGAGCCTAGAGCCAGTCATGTGCCCACACACCATGCTCCTGAGGAGGCAGGAGCTGGGTGGCTGCTTTCTTTCTTTCTTTTCTCTCCACACTTTTCATTGGTGCATCACAGTTGTGCATATGATGGGATCTGTTGTCACCTGTTCATACTTGCCCACAGCATAACGATACACTGTGGCTGATATCACTCCCCAGCCCCTGCCCGCTCCCTCCCTGCTCTGAGCGTGGGTGTGCATGTTAATATGTACAACACATAACACGACAAATTTAACGCTTTAGGATGAAGACCGCGGCATGGTGTAGCTGGGTCCTATGGTAGTCCCACGTCCACCCTTTTGAAGAACCTCCGTACTGATTTCCATAGTGGTTGTACTAATTGCCAGTCCCGCCAACAGTGTGAAAGTGTTCTTTTTCCTCCACATCCACTCCAGCCTCTATTATTGTTTGTATTCCTGATGACTGACATTTTGACTGGTGTGAGATGAAATCTCAGTTTTAGTTTTGATTTGCACTTCCCTAGTTGTTAACGATGCTGCACTTTTTTGTATATATATTTGTTGGCCATTTGTATTTCTTCTTTTGTGAAGTGTCTGTTCAATTTATTCACCCATTTATTAATTGTACTATTTGGTTTTTTTAAAAAAAAATATTTATTTATTTATTTTTTTAGTTTTCCGTGGACACAACATCTTTGTTTGTATGTGGTGCTGAGGATCGAACCCGGGCCGCACGCATGCCAGGCGAGCGCGCTACCGTTTGAGCCACATCCCCAGCCCAACTATTTGGTTTTTTGATGTTACGGTTTTTTTTTTTTTAGTTCTTTATATATTCTAGATATTAATCCTCTGTCTGAAGAGTAGGCAGCAAAGATTGTCTCCCACTCTGTGGCTTCTCTCTTCACATTCCTAATGGTTTCCTTGGAGGCGCAGAAGCTTTTTAATTTGGTGCCATCCCATTTATTAGCTCTTGGCATGATGTCCTGGGCTTTAGGGATCCTAGGTGGCTACTTTCTGTAGAACAAAGTGTCTCTTAGAGTGAGGACAAAATCTGGGAATTGTAGTTTGAGGATCACAACTTGTGAGTCTCCAGTGGTCCTTTTTGCTGTGCTAATGGTCACAAGCATACACTTAGTAGCTTAAAGCAACACGTGGGTGACCTTGCAGTTCTTCAGTCACAAGTCGGAAGGAGTCTCCCTGGGCTAGCAGCAGAGTGTGGGCAGGCCTCTGTCCCTCTCTGGAGGCTCTAGTGCTGGAAGCTGCCTAGGCTCTTTGGCTTCCATCTCCATCACCTTCAAGGTTACCAGTGACCAAGCAAGTCCTGCGTTGCCGTCTCCTGGCTCTCTCTTTTCTGTCTCCCCTTCATCATTTAAGGATCCTCATGATTGTACTGGGCTCTCTTAGGTGATAAGGATGATCTCCCCAAGTCAAGGTCAGCTGATCAGCAACCTTGATTCCATCTGAAACCTTACTTCTTCTTTGCCACGCAACCCGACACAGTCGAGGGACCAGCATGTGACTATCTAGCCATTGTTCTGCCACCCACATACAAATATATAAGAGACCAAGTACCTGTACAGAGGGTCAGCCCAGTGAGTCACAGACATCACAGTGCTGCATCTGAGTGAGAAATCACAGCCCCAGAGAGCAATGACAACCTAAGAGAGACACGCAATTGGAGGAAAAAAAAGAGGTAAGGGAAAAACTTGTAAAAGCTCCCTTTTCATAAAAAAAAAAAAGAAAGAAAATACCCCAACCAAGAAGAACACAATAACATTCTTGCTTTTTCTCACCCACCCATGATATCTGAAAATCAGTACAATCAGGCATCCAGACCATAAAAAAGAAAAAGAAAAACACCCCCAAGAAGTAAAAGGACATTCTGGGGACAAGGGCACACACCTGAAATCCCAGCTGCTCGGGAGGCTGAGGCAGGAGGATCTCAAGTTCAAGGCCAGCCTCAGCAACTTAGTGAGGCCTTAAGCAATTTAGCAAGACCCTGTTTCAAAATAAGAAACAAAGCCGGGCGCAGTGGCCCACACCTGTAATCCCAGTGGCTCAGGAGGCTGAGGCAGAAGGATTGTGAGTTCAGAGCCAGGCTCAGCAAAAGCGAGGTGCCAAGCAACCCAGTGAGACCCTGTCTCTAAATTTAAAATACTAAATAGGGCTGGGGATGCGGCTCAGTGGTTGAGTGCCCTGGAGTTCAAACCCCAGTGCAAAATAAATAAATGACAAAAATGGCTGGGGATGTGGCTCAGTGGTAAAGCTGTTCCTGGGTTAGATCTCCAGAACTCACCCCCCAAAAAAGACAAAATGACCCGACTTTCCAATTGGCAGATCAGAAGGGATCCTTGCAAACGGTGATAATGACAAAATCTGTTGCCAAATGCACAAGATGATAATATATATATATATATATATATATATATATATATATATATATATATATATATATATCTTATCATATTTTTAGAATCCCAGTTGAGAAAAAAGTACTAAAAACTTGAAAGAAGAGATAGTATCCCCATTGCTGGGACAACTCCCTTTGTAAGGATACCCAGGCTTAAATGCTGGAAAAGAAGCTACTCTGGCAAATTGTGTTTCCATCTGGTTTCCTGAATTTTAATGAATGCAGAGGCTTTTTCTAAGCCAGGCACAAAGTCAAGGTACCATAAATTTTTAAATGACAGATTTGATTAGATAAAAGTATAAATTCTCTGAACAGGGAACACACTAAAAGCAAAGTTACCAGACAAGTGATGAGTTGGAAGTTTTACAATATACGCAACAGAGGAATAATAGCCATAGCCTGTAAAAGAGAGAGGTGGGGGGGAGAGCGAGCTTATAAATCAACCAGGAAAAGGCAACAGCACCAACACACACACACACACACTCACACTCACACACACACACACACTCACACACACAGTCACACACACACTCACACTCACACACACACACACTCACACACACACACGATGGACAAAGGATGTGAGCAGGCAACTCAGAGGAAAAGAAATGCAAATAGCTAGTAAACATCTCTCTAGTAATCAGAAAAATGCAAAGTGAAATAACCAGGCCCTTCTGCCGTCCCATTATGAAAAGTGTGACGATGTTGATAGCAGTGAGGGCAGGAACACAGATGAGGTGACCTCTTGAAAGCCCCGTGAGTGCAGTCTGCAGTGTGTTTGGAGAACCATTGGTGGTCTCCATCACTATCCAATTTTACCTCTTCTGAACAACTAATTCTGCCCTTAGGAATACATCCTGCACCCTCCATGCACCCAAAATATTCATGAGGATGTTTTTAGTTTAAAAGTTTGTGAAAGAAGAAGAGGAGGAGGAGGAGGGGGAGGAGGAGGAGGAGGAGGAGAGGGACGGGGAGGAGGGGGAGGAGGAGGGGGAGGAGGGGGAGGAGGGGGAGAAGGGGGAGAAGGGGAAGGAGGAGGGGGAGGAGGAGGATGAGGAGGGGGAGGGGGAGGAGGGGGAGGAGGGGGAGAAGGGGGAGGAGGATGAGGAGGAGGGGAGCAGGAGGAGGGGGAGGGGAAGGAGGATGAGGGGGAGGAGGGGTAGGAGAGGAGGAGGAGGGGAGGAGGGGGAGGTGGAGGGGAAGGAGGAGGAGGGAGAGGAGGGGTGAGGGGAGTGGGAGGAAGGATGAGGGGAAGGGGAGGAGGGGGAGGAGGAAGGGGGAGGGGGAGGAGGGATGAAGGGAGGGGGAGGAGGGGGAGGAGGAGGGGAAGGGGGAGTGGAGGAGAGGGGGAGGGGAGGAGGGGGGAGG